GTTATCATTTCATCAAAGGGTTATAAATGTTGTTTTTGTTTCCCCCCTTTTGGTTCAAAGTATTCTTTTATAAGATAGATTCCTAAATATCTGAGGTTTTACGTCGTTAGCCCAGCCACCTTTGGAAGAATTTAATTTCAGCTGCTTGTTTTTCCAAAATTGATCATTTTTTTCTATCTACTAAATAGTGATTTTGATGGTCTTACAGTAGTTCTTTTTTCATCAATACAAACTAGAACGTCCCAACATGGACAGGTAAATAAAGGTTGTTCTAAGTGCAAAACCCACATAGAAAAAAATATATATTTCAAGTTGGGCTTTGGATATCTTAGAGAGGTTTTTGCTTTTGTACTTGCCCCATTAAAAGTCCTTAAGATGCACTGACACTGTCATTTTTATTTTATATAATCCTATTGAGTAACCTAGACATAATGTTTTTGGCATTCAATAAGAAACTAAACTTTACAATCACATTTAACTTCATTTCTGGCTGCACGTATCTGCTCAAGCAAGATAATTTACTCAAAAGATTTTAACAATGTAGCTCTGCTCTGGAAATAACAAGAATTTTGGCAGACTGGCACAAATAACCCATGCCTTGAAAAACAACAAAAAAGGTCTTGCTTGGACTTCTTTGGCATTGAAATTAACAGGGCTGCAGTCTTCATGGACCTGGGCCTCTAGCCAAGGAGGAGCACACACATCTCCAAATTGTGCATATTAGAAGGTTACACTGGAACCCATTCAGACTTTAGAGAAGTGGTCAACTCAAGCTCTCAAAATTAATACCCCTTATAATTTATTTTTGTCTTTGCTCCACTGCAGCTAAATTGATGGCTGAATAGTCTTCTTTGTATGTCATCAAGTCCTTACTGTGAGGACTCTTTATTTGATTCAGGTGTGTTGAACCAAAGGAGCATAAAACATTTAGGACACAGGCTATAGAGGACTGGAGTGAGCCAAAACTGCTTTAGAGTCTCACAGTTATCAGTTTTGGGAGCCTATATGAAACCTGTCATTGTTCTGGCTTTGATTAAATTGACATATTTAAGCAAATTAAATATTGATGAAAGAGCTTTGTTTCAATGTGGATTAACAACATCAACTGTGTCTATTGGGCCATATTTAGCCCTTCTGTGATCCTCCCTATCCGGATATCAGCTTAGGTTATAATTAACTTATGATGAGCATAGACTACTAAACCTGAACAATTAGAATAAGAAAAACTACATAACAGAAAACCATCTATCAGTAAAATTGGAACACATGAGTCATTTCAGTAATCCTCTGCAATCAATTACTGTGTCCTGATGTGAATCAAGTGGTAAACAATAATGAAGTGTTAAGACAGATGTCAAAATAATTTCAGAAAAAAATCTCTGCAAGAACCCAAAAGATGTGTCAGTTCTCTGAGGATTTATGTGTCCGTCCTTCATAACACAGTGGTTACAGTCTTCTCTCACATTTTCCCTAGGATTGATTTGCTTAATGTAGAAGCTATCCACAGATTAATCCCTTTCACCACTGTAAAAGCTGATCCCATGATATTGCAAAGGAGATGAGGACATCCTGCAAGTATTTTTCAATTTGTATCGAAAATATTGTTTACAACTGGAGCTTTTTTTTATTTTAGCGAAAGTATATTTTTCTATCATGAATAAGGCTGTGATTATACAGAATATAATAAAGTCAAGCATAGGGTTTAGCATAATTATTTTTGGTACACTTTATTTCAGTAGTGCTTGTCAACATTGTTGGTTTAAACTGCAACAGGCAGACATTTTCCTCTGTCATTTTGTTATGACTCCAAACCCAATCATCCACTGGAAGACTTTAACGGAGCATATTAGATTTTATACTGCATCGTGTTTGTGTTTTTCAGATGCTGATGGGGAGAGTATAAGCTCGTTAAATATATTCACAAGTTTTTTTTATTACATATCTGATATCGTTACACAATTATGGATGTGTGCATTTCTCTAAGCAATCTATGTCATTTGTTTGTTCATTCAATAGCTTTAACAAGTTGGCATTGTACAATCAACTGTTCAACTGAGTCTTACTTTACTATATTTTTTGTCAAAGATAAAAAGTAATTAAATAATTGAAATTCACTGTATGCAAATTAACTTACAGGTATGGCTGTACTGTATTTAGAAAAACACCAAAATGGACTCCATATACCTTGAACAGTGAATTCCTTGAAATTAAGAAGCCATTTGAGCTGGAGCAACACAACTTAATGGAATCAAATAAATGTCAAACAAATGCTAATAAAGTCCTAAATCTCCATGAGTCATGACATGTTTCAGTTCTTGGTTTAGACAGGCAGTTAAAGGCTGCCCTCAGGTAAGGTTTCAACTCTCCTAAGGTGACCAAAATAAATAGAAAGTCATCCCAAAAGAACAATTGGTCCTGAATAAGGAAAGCTCTATAAATGTAAGCCCTATGTTATAATGCTTTCAAACGAACCCATACACACATACACACAGGACTGTAGACCTAAAATGATAAAGTTGAATGGAAAGAGAAATCATTGTGGCAAAAATACAAAAACACAAAATCTTTGAATTTCAGATTACAGACATAGAGAAGCTTAAATTACTGAAAAATCGTTTCAATAAAACACCTGGTAATGGAAACGCTTCCCAGACACTGAAACTTTAGACTGTTGGAGACTTTCCAGGCGCTGACATCATGTGACCTAATTCCTGAAGCCTACTGCTCCTGATGTGGATAACTACAGCAGTGCCTTAGAGCCCAGTACAGACAGTTGAATATAGTGAATACTGTAAAAAATATGCACAACATATTAACCTTCTCACACTATATAACCTTAAAACTGCACAATCAGCGAATATTTATTTTACTGCAAATAAAGCTGGATGCAGTTCGATCAACGCTTTTCCAAACTTTTCAACTTACAACCTCGAGCCAATAAATTTAAAAATTGCAGAAGCCAAGTCAAATACACACACATAATTAGCTAAATTGTTATTTATCCACTCATGCCACAGATTCACAATTGGATTTAGATCTGAAATTTAACTTAGTCTGTGAGGCAGACACCCTGTCTACTTTTAAGGCTAGGCTTAAAACTTTCCTTTTTGATCAAGCTTATAGTTAGAATGGTTCAGGTTATCCTGAGCTATCTCTATAGTTATGCTGCTATAGGCTTAGACTTCTGGAGGACATAGGGACCCCCATTTCATCATTCTGCTTCATTCTGTCTCTATTCTCCCACTTTGCAGAATCTATTAGTTCAATCTCTAACGTTATGCTCTCTGCTTTTTTCTCATAGTGTCAGGGTTTCGCTGTGGCTTGAGGACCCAAAATGCAGAGGCAGAGAGGCTGATGAGATTTCTTGGAGTTTAATGGGGCAAAACAGTAAACAAAGGCAGGAATGCAAAAATCCAACTAATAACGAAAAGCAAACCAGAACTAAGGAGACATCTGTTTTAATTGGCTAGCTGCACTCACCCTCTCCCCAGGCGGGCTGAGACTGGAAATAGTGTCCAGAGTTTTTCCCAGCTTCAGGAAGAAATCCCTCAGGGTGTCCAGACTGGGCTCTGCTGGGTCCATTTTTGGTTGGTTCCTTGTCTTTGCTGTCCTCCCATGCTGTTGTCCACCTACCTCGTCTCTCCCTGGCTCCTCGTGTGTGGTTTCCCCAGATGTCTCCATAGTTCTGCCTCTCTGCCTCTGCATTTGGGTCCTCAAAACCTCAACCAAACCCTGACACATAGTAGCTTTGCCTCGTCTGTTCCTGTTTGGCTGTGACACCATACTGGAGAGAAATTTCAGCTGTGCTGCTGCCATTAACACCCTTGTTTAGATATGTTGGAGATTGGCCTGTTTTCCAGTGTAGTCCTGTTTCTCTGACTGTGACTGGCTGGATGTGCTCTCTTCATCCTCCGACATGGGAGCTGGCTCGGAGCTCGTCTGCCTAGCTGTGTGTTTCCTGGACAGGGCCGCCTTTACAGTTGCTTTTTGTATCTCTGCTTCTGTCTCCTTGAACCCCAGTCGGCCTCTGCAGATGGCCGCTCACACTGAGCCTGGTTCTCCTGGAGGTTTTTTCCTGTTAAAAGGGAGTTTTTCCTCCCTACTGTTGCTACAAGCATGCTTAGTGTGGGGGATTGCATTTGAGTCAATGAGTCGATGCAATCAACTGGTTTACATTAGAAAACTTTGAATCAATTTGTCTGTATGATCTGGTTGAACTGTAAAGCGCCTTGAAATGACATGTGTTCTGAATTGGCGCTAGATGAATAAACTGAATTGAAATGAACTGATCTCACCAAATTAAGTAAAATATTTCCATTGTAGCTCTGACTGTATGTTTAGTCCCTAATATTCTCTAAATAACAAGCATTCACAAGACAGTCCTATTTCTACATATATGAGCTTATAAAAGTTTATAAATGGTTAAAAAAAGAATCTGTTTAGCCATTTAAGTCAGTTGGTAGGCACCGAATTTTATTTTGTGGTATCAGAATAAGGGGGCAAAATATAAATCCACACTTTATTTTAGGAAACCAAAACAGCTTTTTACTTCACAACTATGTGTTTCTTCAATTAAACGAGGTAAGAACATGAAATAGTTAGGATAATATAATATTTTTTGCAGACTTTACATAAAACGTGTTGAAATAAAGGTTTCTGGCATCGTATTTGTAAAGGAATCAATGTTCTTTTCAGTTGGAAATATTAAAGTTACACAAAGCATCATTATTTAAAGGCTCATATATATATAAAAAGTAAAAAAATAAAACATTTTCTGCAAACGCCAACATTTGTAGTTTGTATTTCCGTTAGTTAATACAATCTGAAGGACCCAAAATTTCAAATTGAGTGCCTCATACAAAAGAAACGCCCAGATTCAGAATAAGGTTCTCTGCTTCTGTTACACACTGCGTGGGTAGTCTCTCACATTGTTGGACCTGCCTCCTCTGTCTGAAACTAAGCCATGCCCAAATAAATCACTCCCAGCACAGAGAAACCCTCCACTCAGGGGCCACAGGCTGACGGGGGAGGTTGGAGAGCTGCAGAAAGTGGAGCGCTGCTGCATACCCCAAACTCTCCAGCGGTGGTGAAATAATCACAGACAGAACATCTCACTAGGAGCACCTGTGGATATTGCAGCACCCGAGCGGGTTTAACTTTTCAACAAAATGTCGGGTCACAGCGCCTTAACCAGGGTGCTGGTCGCCCTGTGCGTCGGGAGCGCAGTGCGCTGCATGCCCCAGGAGGCGCACAATAACCCGCAGCAGTATCGCCCTTCCTCTGTCTCTCAAGGTAGGATGGATTTATCTTTTCCTTTCTTCTCTGAATTCATATCATTTAATCTGAGAATATTTTTGGATGATTTGTAACTTTTTTTTTTTTTTTACAATTAAAATATTTCTTTTTCCATAAAATGTTTTCACTGATCTGAAAATTCTTATCTGTTAAGGCTTTTTTATTTTATGTTATCAACTCTAATGATGACATCAAGCACTAATTACCTTTAATCACTCTCTGTTCTCTGGGTCACAGGATTAACCTTTGACTCAAGCCCTCCTCTAAGTGCCCAAAGTTCATACAGAGTTAAAATAAGACATTGGAAAACCATTGTAAAGTGGATTAAAGGGGAAAAAAACGATAATTGCTCTGGAAGTATGGAGCTCTGTACAAAGAATGTTCCTGGTGGGGGAGAAAAAGGGAATGACTATTCTTCTCCACCCTGTGCAAATGATTTATGACAGTTTAGAGGTCCCTTTGAAGCCCTGTTTCCACTGTCGAGGTTTTTTTCAGAAACATAAGGGATGTTGTTTTATCATTTTATCTAAATGTTTAATTATAGTGATCAGTTATTCTGGTATAAATAGGGTTCCCTTGGTTGTGTAACCAGTGGTAATGATTTGTGCGAAGCTGGAGGTGAAGAGAGACACTGTCCAGGAATGGCATTTGTCTTTCCAGTCTGGACCTCCAGATTGGCTCTGTATTAACCAGTGTGAAATTATATTTTCTTTTCTCTTATGTGTTTCTCTCTTCTTTCCTCAGATGGCTGTATAGAGAACGGTCGGTCATATAATGTTAACGAGCAGTGGGAGCGCCGCTATTTAAGCGGCACTCTGATTTGTACCTGCAATGGAGTTGCTGGGATTAAGTGCAGAAGCAAACCAGAAGGTTAGTTTGTTTGTAGTAACATCACCCTGGATGCTTTAACACTTTTCCACTATGAAAACGTAATAGTGTGGCTTGTACTTGTATTAAGCCTCTTTTACTTTGATACTAATAAATTATTGGTAACAGTGCAACTAGTTACATAAAGTCAATATAAAGGTAAAGTTGAATTTTTGTTTTATAAAGAAAAGCAGATGTACTATTACATAGCTGTTCACTTTAGCTTTAAACTGTTAATTTTGCCCTTAGAAATAAAGAAAGTGGCTAGAAGAAAGTTCTGACCACAGCTTGATGAACACTATGTTGGGAACATAGTCTCTGAGGGTAGAAAGTAATGCTTCACAGCACCTAAATATAACTTCCCTATGGTGAAACATAGTGGTGGCAGCATCATGCTGATGGGATTAGAGAATCTGGTAAAATTTATGAGTTTTTTAAAGAGCTGTTCTATAAGAATACTTTTTTGAGGCTACAAAGAAAAAGGGTGGATGTTAACCTTCTAGCAGGACAAAGACCCTAAATAGAAAAAAGTAAAATAGAAAGAGAATCTGTTGCAGGACTTGAACAAAGATTTCTGAATACAAATACTACATTTGTCTTTTTTTTTTAATAGGAAGCCATTACCATTTTCTTTTTCTTCACAATTATGCACCACACCATGTTTGACTATGAGTTTGAACCCAAATAAAATCGTTGACTTGTTTGTCTTTGCCGTTTGAATAGTTTTACATCATTTTTAGCATTTTTTAACTTAAAGGTCATTATTTCTTTTCCTTTTACCTATAACAGAGGAAAAGTGCTATGACAAACTCGGCCAGAAGTACTACAACGTGGGAGAAACCTTTGAGAGCCCAAGGGATGGCATGATCTGGGACTGCACATGTATTGGATCCGGGAAGGGCAGAATCAGTTGCACCATTGCGAGTATGTGTTGCTTGTTGGTTCTGCACACAAGATGTCTGTATGATGGATAGTTATATCTTACAGTTGCATCCCGCCTGAATTCTTTTCCTGCCATTCTTTGCCAAACTAAAAAACATTCTTAAACTTCATAATCTTGGCAGCTGTTTAAGAAGTGATGCCGGGCAGCTGCTTGCAGTTAGCTGAAGGGGTTGGATAATGATGGAAATGTCTGAGATCTTTTAATTCCTGTGAGCCTGCTGTTTACACACCTGGGAAATAGAGACATCTATTTTTTGTTTCTATTTATCCAGATCGCTGTCATGATAACGGGGCCTCATATAAGATCGGAGACACCTGGAGAAGACCCCATGAAGGAGGCTACATGCTGGAGTGTGTCTGTCTGGGTAATGGCAAGGGAGAATGGACTTGTAAACCTGTAGGTGAGTCACTCAGGCAGCGGACTGATTGCTGGGTCTAAGTTTTATGCCAATTCTTAAATTGTTTACTTTACTTCAGAACCATTCTGATGGTTTATACTGAGAAAACCAGTCGGTTTTAGTAGCTGTTAAGCTCAAGCTTTTATTTTGCAGCTGAGCGTTGCGTTGACCAGTCTGTTGGACGATCCTACGTTGTTGGGGAGACATGGGAGAAGCAGTACCAGGGATGGATGATTATCGACTGCACCTGTCTGGGAGAGGGAAATGGACTGATCACATGCACATCCAGAAGTAATTATTGGACCTACTTCTTCTGCATTTTCTTTCTTAGTTTCCCCTAACATCTATTGTAATTTGACATCTATTTGAAACATAAAGAAATAGGTTAGTGACCAGAGTCAGGTGAGACAAATAATAAGAATAAAATAAAATACAATCAGTGAATGCACCACATATAAATGCAACCCAGTCGCAGTGGAAATAACAGTCTTAGTTTTTAAAAACTACAACTAATATGATCATAGCTTTAAAATGTACCGATTGGTTTAAATTGAAATCTTTAACCAATCTATGTCAAGACCCTGTTATTTTTTTTCTTTTTAATGAGCCTTTTAGATAAAAGGTCAGAGCTTCACTATATCGGTGACCAGAAAATAGGTCACATGATCTATTATTATTTAGTTTCAACCTGAACCTAAAAAAGCCAGTTTTAGTAAATTAAAAGTAAATTCAGTTTAATCAAAGTGTGTACTTTTTTTTTTAACCTTTAGTGACTTTCAAAGGAAAAATCTAGGTCACTGAGAGTCATTCCAGCAGACAATCAAAACTTTTCATTTTTTGGATGTCCAACTGTGTTATTCAAAACTAGCGTCACTTTAGTCTCCCTGTGAGAACAGTTGGGAGTGTGAAGCTTGTATATTTTGGTTCTTTCAACACTTTTTGGAGGACATGTTCTACAGCAGTGCCAGCTTTTTAAACAGTTACATGCATCTTTATCCAATCTGATGCAACAGACAGTGATAGATTTTCTTTAGCTTATTAGCCTGTTATTACATCCAGGAGTTTTCGGTGACCATGAAGGCTTTTTGGCTTACTTCATTTCCCTCTTCATGTTCACAAATACCCACCAAAGTTTTTTTGACACTGACATGGAAACCTCTGTTCCACAGAAGAAGTAATTTAATAATTTTGCTCTTAATAATTACAGATATTTCCAGAGGCATTCTTATTTAGATTTCCACAGCATCCCTTACCTTCAGACTTCCACTGTATTTAAGTATTTTAGTCCTCATCACTTTTATACTCACCAAACCTTTCTCCTAGATCGCTGTAATGACCAGGATACTCAGACCTCATACCGTATTGGAGACACATGGACAAAGACAGATTCTCGTGGCCACCAGCTCCAGTGTCTCTGCACAGGGAACGGCCGTGGGGAGATGAAGTGTGAACGACATGCCTCACTTCACACCACCGGCTTAGGTGAGAACTGATGGTATCCATGTTTACTTTTTCTCTTTGTCACTCTGGTTGGGGAAGAATCTTGACCAAAAACAGATGTTATAAGGAGTGACAGATAAAAGGTGCCAAATGTCTACAACGGGAGAATGACATGTCTTTTAGCTTAAGATCATTACCTCATGAGATGAGGCGACATGGATTGTGTGTGGGAACCAGAGGATGTGAGAAAACTACACATGGAATTAATGGGAAAAAGAGCTCTGATTAGAGAGATTATGAAGAGTGAAGTAGAAAAATGAGCTCGTTGTGATGTAATATCTGTAAATAGCAAAGGGGTGAGCTGCAATTTATGACTTTTATCTGAGGTTATGGTTCCATTTTCTCAGTAAATCCTTGTGTTGTGCCAATGCATGTCATTCAGGAGCAGCTGGTGGTATTAAAACTGTTTTCAAGCTTTTTTGGGGTTACATAGAGTCCATAAAACAGTCCTGTTCAAGTTCATTATTTCACATCTTTATCAGTGTTTATGGACTACTGTTACTAAACGCATCTCATACTGCTCTAGGGATATGTTGGCTTCTTAAACTGCTATGTGTGAGCCAGTAAAAATGTTATAATTATTAGCATTATATTTTAAAAGTTCTAATGATATTTATGGTCATGTTATTGAAATTGACTAGTTTATTTACTTATAATAAATTGTTTTACTATTTTTTTTATATTGTTTGGAACAGTCAATAGTTTTCAATATACAGTATATTCCATTACTGAAATGGCAATGTAAAACATAGCAAAAACAATTCCTCCTAAAATTGGTTTTAAAGCAATGGAGCTTGATGTTATAGTGCAAGACTCTTGTGATTACTGGTGATATTGTAGTTTTTAGGCTTCAAAAAACTGCAGGAACTGATCATTTGCTCTCTGAAGAGGTTTTAGAAATGTCGTTCTCTGGTGATGTGGTGAGCAGCAAATACCCTTCTGCAGAAAGCGTCATAACAAAGGTGTTTCATTCCTACAGTCCCCTTTTGCTCTTTTACAACCCATATACAGAATTATCTTCCATTCCTCATTGAAAGTTCATTTGGATCTCTAATGAATATTGTTGGTGGAAATAAAAAGTCAGTTGTTATCAGTATCATTTCATATATAACACTGCAAAATGGGACATGTCAAGGCAAAAAATTGCATTCATATTCACTACAGTGACATTTTTTTTTTGCATTACTATTGCATCTAGTTGCGGTTTTGCAGTTGTTGGTGGTGAAAGATTAGGTCTTTCCTATTGACAACTATTATCCTCTTTGTAGATAACTGCATAATGACAAAATGAAAGTAAATTACTGTATGTTGAATTAAAATCAATAATGGAATTATTGATATTTTGGTCTAAAATGGAAAAAGCAATATCGTTATGGTCCCTGTCTGCGGAACCACAGAGACACAGCTTAGATTTTAATGGTATTTGACTGCAGGTATGATCCTAACTGCTCAACATCCCTATGCATTTTACAATTATTTTAATGAATGTTTATGTTTCAATTTGAATGTGCAATAGGAGAAAAAGGCAGTTATCCTGTTTTACCTTGATAAATTCATCACTGCAAACTCTCCCATAATGGTACATCATGCAGTAGTTCTTGGTAGGGCAAACCTTATATTTTTGAGATCCTATTTAAGTCACACATTGTGTTACAGGCACTGGCTCTCATTTGGTGACCAACATCCAGCCTGCAGTCTACCACCCTGTCTCTGTACCAGAGCTCCTGGAGGGACCCTGCAAGACTGACTCAGGCCTAACTTACTTCAATGGGCAGCGCTGGATCAAGAACCAGGGAAATAAAAAGATGATCTGTATCTGCATGGGAAATGGAGTAAGCTGCGATCAGTGGGGTAAGAAACAATCTCTTCTCTTGGTAAATTCAATTTGAGGCCACCCACTAGAGCTACCCTCTGAACTGAAATCCCCCAAAATGATGTTCAAAGGACAAATATAAACACTGAGCTGTTTTCACGTTGGCCCTCAGATGGACCAGCTCCAGTGTATGGTGGCAACTCCGGAGGCCTTCCCTGTGTGTTCCCATTTGTTTACAAGGGGAAAACCTACCACTCCTGTACTTCTGACGGGCGTAGCGATGGGCAGCTGTGGTGTTCTATTTCGTCGGACTTTGAGAAAGAGCAGAAATATTCTTTCTGTACAGAGAAAAATGGTAAAAAGTTTTTTTTGTTTTGTTATTATTTTCAGGCTTGTTTGCTCAGAAGCCCTTTACTATCATTATAAAATTTTTACTGAAGTTAATATGAATCGCAGTAAATCCTGATTCCGTTGATCCATTTTCTCCAACAGTGGCCGTGATGACACGAGGTGGTAATTCAAACGGTGCTCTGTGTCAGTTTCCATTCATTTACAATGGCCGGAACTACACTGACTGTACTTCAGATGGTCGGCGGGACGGCATGAAGTGGTGTGGCACCACAACAAACTACGATGCGGACCATCGCTTTGGGTTTTGTCCAATGACGGGCAAGTTACTTTGTTTTCTTTTTAAATGATTGATATTTCAGTTTTTTTTTCATAATTGAATAGTTCGAACAATTTTACTCGTTTATCATTAAATACTTGTTTGCTTTTGATCATTTTAAAATCCGCTTTCTTATACTGTGTAACAGAGCAATTCATATATTCCTAATGAAAAGTTTTATTCCCTTTGACAACTAACGATTATATATTTTCTTTCTAGTTGATCAGGGTTAGTAAACCTCTATTTATTTTACTACTTTTTTAGTAGTTAAGCACATTGATACCAATAAAATATAGCAGGGAAAATGTTAACTCTCCCTGATGGTAACAAACTTGGTTAACATTACTTATTCTCATGTCCTTCCAAGCCCCATATGAGTAATATTATCAGCCGAACCTAAGATGTCTTTGCAGAATGATGTTAACATGGAAAACGGACTTATTTCTGAGAATCTGTCTCATTTATAACCTCACAATCTTAAAAATTGACTAACAATACTAACAAAATTAAGGCACATTGAAGTCACAGCAGCACATGAGAAATGTTAGATAAGTATCTCTTGGCAGTGGAACAGACTGACACCCGTAAAACAGTTCTTGGTTTAGTGGTCAAATTGTAAAATAGTTTAATAACATGACGTTTAATGCTAAAGAAGTCATTTAAAAAGACCGCAAATTTTGCTGGATTTTAAATCTCCACCATCTAGGAGTTAAAGCTAAACCTTTGAAATACAGGCATATTGCACTCATTTTGCCAAAGTTTGTCTAAATTTCATTTGAAATCCTTCATCCACTAAAAGGACCACCCCTTAGCTGACACCCAGATGTTAAAACCATCCTGTCAGGTTTTAACAACAGCTGGGGAGGGGGTGTCTGTTTAAACACCTTAGCTATTGTCAGAATTGTTTGTGTGAGATAAAACCATTCATCTGGTGAAAGGAGCAGACTGTCTTCACATTGGATTTAAGTGCTTTGCAGCCATTGTCAAAACAAACATAGATTTTTAGATGTTAATTGGTTGTTTGAACAAACCTGGAGTTCATGCTTTCTCCTCAAACTTCTTCAAAGGTGGTTTGGTAATCCTCTGTGATCTGATCAGAAAACTGTCTCCATCTGTGTTTTTACTATCCAGGGATCAATCTCATCATGCAAATGTAGTCATTTACATTGTATGGATCTCTGTCACATTCTAATCACTGAGAAGAATCTTATTTAAACAGAACGATTGGCATTTCTCATCATCCTATAGGGTTTCTGTTTTGCGAATGAACATTTTGAATATAAGGGCTTAATCATCTAAAACCAAGTATAGGATAATCTAATATAAGTGAAACTTGATTTACAATAAAGATAATGTTGTCTAATCAAGTAATCAAATTACCTTGTGTTGCTATTGCCTTAAAATGGATACAATCTCGACATAACCTTCGGATTCTTTAAATAGGTTTTTCGATTAAGCACATTTTGTCCTTGCAGAGAGATCTGATTATTTTTCTGGTGTCTGTCCTTTAACAATGACCATTTATGAAAGTAATGTAAAAAAAAAAAAAAAAACAGCCCACCCACAACATCGGAAGAGTCTGAAATAAAAGCAGTGTGCCTCAAACTTTCTTTTAATAACACATTTTAAAATGAAAGGCAGGTCTCAGCTGGTTGAACTGATACTTTGAAAACTTTCTGTCTCTCATTCTCACTATTAATTATCTGAAACCATATGTTAAACATAAACAGTCTTTCCCCTTTAGGAGACTAGACAGCTGTTTCTAACTTTTAATCAATTTCCTTCTTTTCATGCAAAGGAATTTTTATAACTGTTGTATTCACAAACGTTGTGATAATTATAGGGTGAGGCTATATTTCCAGTCTATGGTCTGATTTTTCTTGTTTTGTTTGTGTACTACAGCGAATGAAGAAGTGTGCACAACAACCGAGGGTCTGATGTACCGTGTAGGTGACCAGTGGGACAAGAGACACGATGTTCTCGGTCACATGATGCGTTGTACATGTGTCGGCAATGGGAGAGGAGAATGGAGCTGTGTCGCTTACTCCCAGCTTAAAGGTACGGGTCACCCGAGCCGTACTGTGGTCTCATCCACCCTGGATGGATGGTAACAATAATAGACTACTGGTCTTTTTGTTAGCATCCCTGTTTAGCTTTATCTCTTCTCCCCAGAACATTGTCTTGTGGACGGTGTGACCTATGAAGTTAACCAGACTTTCACCAAAGAACACGAAGAAGGATACATGATGAACTGCACCTGCTTTGGTCAGGGCCGCGGTCGCTGGAAGTGTGATGCCATTGGTGGGTCTAAGACTTTAAACCTCTAAATCTCTCCATCACAGCGATGAAAACAAACTTTTTTTGATCATTCTTATTACTTTTCTCTCAGACCATTGCCAGGACCCAGAAACAAGAACTATCTACCAGGTTGGAGAATCTTGGGACAAAGTGATCCAAGGAGTCATGTATAAGTGCATTTGCTATGGCAATGGTGTTGCAGAGCATGGATGCGAGCCCCAGCTGTCATATCCTGGTAAGATATATTGGTTTAGGTTTCCTTAAGATGTTTACATTTAACTGTATGCAGTTCAGTCCTATAGTGTATGAAAGATACAGAGAAAACAGTCCTTGTTCTTGAGGTGGCATGAGGGGCGATGTTGGGATTATTGAAAGAGGACGGAAAGTGAAAAATGTTTGAAGTAGAAGAGAAATTTGATTGCAATAACTTAAGTTAGGAGGAAAACGATTGAATGCATCTACATGTTTGACTCTTCTATACAACTGAAGTTTAACCGGTTTCCGCACAATGCAAAAGGAAAAGGTTATTTCCACCTGTCCTTCTTAACAACGCCCTATGTTTGGGTAATAATTGGAAGAAAAACTTCCACAAATTCTTCTAAACATGTTCAGATCTGTTGGGAAAAAAAAGAAAAAGTTTAGCATTGATCATATAAGTTTTAATCAGCATTTAAACTATTTATTTCCTGAATGTCAACTCTGCCAACCGAGCCCAAACAGAAAAACGTTTGTCTAAGCTACCTTGAATATGAGGTCCTTGACTTTGATGTAAAGCAGACAGTTATAGGAGGGGGTGTGATTTCCTCTTTTACAAGTACTCCCCCCCTACTTTGCGCTTTTGTTCCTGCCAGCATGTGGTTCATCGTTTGTGTTGTTGCCACAGCTGTACTAAAACGCCCCAGTCCATGACTGTGGATACAACCACATCACATGTGGTACCCTCAAAGCTGGAATATCTGCAGATTGTAACAGTCAGGAGTCACATAGTTTTTAATCTTTAGTATCACAGTTAACTTTAGATTCTTTTCATAGTTTGCTGTCTTAAATTCAAAGATATCGTTTTTTTTTAAAAAATATATTATATGGAAGGCTTTGTTTTACTGATAGTTCAAAGATTTGAAATGCTGAAAACTGAGGATAAAATGCCAGAATTCCAAGTGTAGCTGTAAAAGTCATGGAAGTAAGCCTAGCTTCAAATTGGTGGGTCTTAAGAGAAGGAACGTTATACTTGCTTGTTTTGTGAAGCAGGTTAAAGGCAGATCCAAAATGTAGGCCTGCTCTCTGTCGTAAGTGGCCTTAATAGCAACCATCTGTAAACTTGTGCTGTGCGTATTGTTGTGTTACTGCATGTCTGTGTGAGCTATGAGGGGAAATAAAGCATGCACTGATATAAGGCAGCAAGATTTCCAGACCTTGGAACCTGCAAGTTTTCACAAGCCTCTAAATAAGCAGAGAGATTGATACAATCTCATTAAACTGTTGTCCTGCCTGCTATCTGTTCATCTCTTCCTGCCTCTGGTGTTTTCTATTATCTTTGAACCATTTTCCATTCTTAGGATGTCTTCTGCTAATGCCTCCCAAATGCTCCTTATCACCACCATGTTGTTCGTCCAACTGAATTTCAAAGGTGGATGTTATGTCTACAGGTGGATAAAGTGGATTCATGAGTGTATCTTAGGCGGCATGTGTCTGATCTTTTCATGACAGTCTGAACAACACGGGTCTGATTTTTTTTCCAGGCCACTTGCCTATGTGGTCCCGAATCTGAAACGCATCTGGAATTTTCAAATGGGACTGTGTCTGAACGGCCACGTCGCATTCATCCGTCCTGAACGTCATAAATATTCAACAAATGTCACTATTCTGTGTCTTGCTACGCAGATGTAGGAAGGAAAACAACAATCATGTCTGACGATAATACAGAGAGTAGTCTTTATTTTCAACCCTTTTGAAAAAATTATATTGTTAATGCATTGGCTGAGGTTGGAAAAGAAATGAAAGATTGCAAGATGCATTACAGATCTACCATCCGTGTTAACTTTGCGTAAACACAGAGAACGCTTGCTTGTGACGTCATTGCGTCCTCTACTGCGCATGCGGGACACTTAAGTTGTGTGAATGCAGTTCAAACAGGTGATCACATCCGAGTTGCATAATTTGGAAATGTGAACGACCTTGCAAAAGTATCGGACTTCACACAAAAAAAGTCGGAATTGAGCATCAAGGCCCACAGTGTGAACAAAAAGTGTGTGTAGGATACATGAAACTGCACCTTAAATATTTAGTATCGCAGCTGCAAGCAAGCATCTGTTTAAAAGCCGTCCTGCATTTGAATCTGCATAATCCTTACCCTGGCCAGTGGCTTTGTGGGTCTGTAATGGGCTGTAATTGCTCCCAGATTGATTTTGAGGTTTGTGTATTTGGTTGCAGCCTCTGGTTAACCAAGCCACTTGCTCAGAAACTTTTATTACAGGTCTGTTGTTTGGAAAAATGGTTTGAAAACCCCAGTTCTATATAGAAGCTACCAGATTCTATCTGTAGAGCTTATGTCAAACGGATGCCTGAACACATGACCTAGATTGGAATTAAAAACAACATGCCCTTTTAGCTTTTCATCATCTTCGACTTCTCATATCATGTTTCCTCTGTTATGTCTGCCAACCTGATAAATGTGTTCTTTATTCCCTTTAGCTTGCCCTGCTATTCATTTGGAAAGCAGACCACAAATCTTTCCAGAGTGCAGTCAGGTAGAATAATGACCAACAATTAAACGGTTTTCCCACAGACTCTCCTGGCTGGAAAAGCTGTTGAATATTGTTTAGCTCCGTTGAACTTAAATTGAGACTCTAAATTGGGCAATGAAACTAGAGATGAATGGATTACTTCTGTGGTTGGGTTGTTATGTCTGTCTGTTTTAATCTGCTAGTATAGATTGACAGGATTCAAAATTATTTTTTTATCCTTCTTCTGTGATTGATCACAAATTATTTATCATCATGAGTAAAGACATCGTGACACTGTGAGAGAAGGAAGTTATTTTTTATCTGAAATACAAAGACAAAATGACAAGGCTTACATTGTTAGCTGCCTTTAGCAGAGAGAGTTGCATAGTTAAAAAGGACAAAATTGAGCATTTTATGCTCAGCAGCCACTCTGTTATCTGCTGAACTTTTTCCATCTCTTAAGTATCAGTCTTCTGAATGATCACCATATATAGATAGAAAGTAATATATTTAAATGAATAGCTTCTTACACCTTTTAGGATTGCAATGAGATTTTCCAGGCCACCGCTGTTAATCAAAATGTTACATCTCACTCAGTACTTTCTGTTTGAACAAAGTAAATATAATATTATGGGACCTGATTTTTTTAGATTTCTAACCACTTTTGAAGCTAGCTATAGGTCAGTTGTTTTGATTTTGTTCTGGACTTTTCCCCCCTATTTTAGTAATATTACTTCCAACATTCTACAGTATAAAATAACTGATCAAAGCTGGTATGATTTGTGTTAATATTGTGTCAGGTCAGTATCGGCCATTTCTAAAAGCTCAATATATGTAAAAAAAAAAAAGTGGTCTTGTGACGCTCCTAATATCAAGACTTATCAGGTTGTTTTTTCTTGATGATGTTTGCTTTTTTTTTTTTTTTTGGGTTATATTTTCAGCAACCATTTCTAAATTATAATCCCACTTTGACATAAATTTATTTGAACCCCTCCTTTAAGAACTATTAAACATATGCTTTGGTCTGATAATGAATCTAAATAACACTTAAGTATTGTCTATGATCGAACTCCATGGTGTCCATAAGGTGGATTCATTTGCATTGAGTTTTGATGGAGTGATATTTTGTCCCAATAATTAGTTCAGAAACATACCACATTTTCAGTGTTATTTGCTAGATATAGATCTATTCTGATTTGTACATTCAAAAATAAAAGATTTTAAAACTGGTTAAAGTAGAACAAGTGGGACAGAAGTTTCCTTCCCTCCAGGGATGGAAATCTGGGCTGGAATCTCACAGGAGCCTGCTACTTTTTCCTGTTCAGAAACACAGCTGCACACTGACTGACTGTCAGTGTTAACTATAGTGTAGAAGAACGATGGGATTTCATCCGAAAGACAAAAGATTTACTGATAACAGTAGATTGTCTCTTGTTTCTAATGTATAAATAACCTTTAAGTGCAAAGAAATGCACTGATCATTTAACTCCCAGAGATGCATTGGTCAGATATTTGAGGCCAACTTCCATTTTCTTCTATAACTTAGACATGCTGAACTTGGAACATCTGTAATTGATCTGCTGTTAAAAACAGCCAAAACATCTCTTTCTAATATTCCTGTGTTGCACCGTCACTCTTATTTGTATTTAAGTTACCAGGGCTTATCTCTTTGATTGTTTTAGCAGGTCATAGTAGCAGTTAGCATGTTTAGCAAAACTAGTCTCTCAAAGGAGACTCTTTTCCCTGGGAAATTATCCTCCATAACATTCCATAAGGCTGGTAATATTGCTAAATGTGGTTGTTTTATAATAGCCAGACCCTTAAAGCATGAACTAGTACGACTTTTCTTTGCAGTATTTAGCATTCTTGTTATGTTGAAAAGTCTTGATCTATCTTTTGGCCTGAATAAACAATAGAAATAAGCTTTTGTAGATGATAATATTTGCTTTTCAGCAACACCTTACATCCCTCTTCTTCACCTGACAGCTTTTATACAAAAATGCAATTTTTACATTTCCTAAACAGAGTAATGTTGTCAGCATAGTCTTTTTCTTTTTTCTTTTGCAGCTTCTTTGATTTCAGACTAAATGGTCAAAAATTTGCCTTTTATGGTCAATTTCTCAGTTTCTCCAGCAACTTCCCTTGATTTGTATTTTAACAATGAACATTTTTCTTCTTCTCTGTGAACTCCTATTCTAGGTGGCCATCATCCTGTTCAGGTAATCATAGCAGAATCTGGAGGCCAGCAAAATTCCCATCCTGTTCAGTGGAACACACCAGCTTCAGCCCATATAACCCAGTACATCCTAAAATGGAGAGTGGTAAGGTTTTTTTTCTATCTGTGCAAAAAATATTTTAAAAGATTACCTTTTACAATCTAATGTGGCTGATTATTTATCACCATACAGTATTCAACTTCTACCTGCAATTTGATTTTCTCTAATACAGAAAGACACAGCTACCCCATGGATGGAGGTTATCATTCCTGGCCATCTTAACTCCTACACCATCTCTGGACTCAAACCAGGGATTACATATGAGGGCCAGTTGATCAGCGTGCTGCGGTTTGGACACAGAGAGATTACTCGCTTTGACTTCACCACTACTTACGGATCACGTAAGTCATTGAAGGCAGATCTCGAATGAGTCAATGTCTAAAACTAAACTATTTTTTTTTCTGTTTATACATAATATCTAAAAAAATTCTATCTTTTTTAGTTATTCCATCATATGGAGAAACCACACCTCTACCCCCTGTAGTTGAGATCTCTGAATCAGTGACAGAAATTACCTCCAACAGCTTCGTTGTGTCCTGGGTTTCTGCCTCCGACACAGTGTCTGGTTTCAGAGTGGAGTATGAGCTGATTGAACAGGGTCAGGGAACTGGACAACCTTTTGTTTTAGGTAGGTTCAAAAAGGAACATTTATGGTATGGGTTTATGCTAAAGAACTGTTGATGTTGTTTGTTTGAATTTATTGCAATAATCCTTTCCCTCCTGCCAGATTTGCCCCGTTCAGCCACCTCAGTGAACATTAATGAGCTTTTGCCAGGGAGGAAATACAATGTCAACGTCTATGAAGTTACAGATGGAGAGGAAACCAACCTCATTCTCACTACTTCACAGACAACTGGTGAGTAGACTTAAAAATGCACTTCAAACTTAAAGTGAGATAATAGAATAAAAACAAATCATGCACAGTATCTTCTTTAGCGGTCATATATATCCGATGATGGAGGATTTGTTTTGTTTCTCACAGCACCTGATACCCCGAAGGAACCTGAAGTAGAAGAGGTGGGAGATACTTCCATGACGATCACCTGGGATAAACCCCTGGCTCCAATTACTGGTATGTCATAAGGCATGGAGGTGCTGTGAAAGTCTGATAGTATGAAAACCATACCAAATTAGCTCATATTTATACTCAGAAGTTGTTTTTTTTAAGTTCCCCATTGGACATGCAACAAGGATACTGCCAAAAGTTGTTATTTTAAGTAATTTAATTCTCCAGGTCAGCTTCCACTATAGTTGATGTGCATATAAACAGTAGAAGCTGCAGATATGAAATGTTTATTTTTTATTTATTTATTATTTTTTTTTTTTATCTTTTGAGGGTTTTTTTCTAGTTAAACCAGTATCATACACAGGGCACTTTAGGCTTTATTTGTATCCATGTTCTGTTAGTGGTGCAAAACATGAATGAAGATTAATGCAGCTGGTAAAAACAACAAAGAGTAAAATTTAACTCTTTTCAGGTCTGATTTCATTGACAGACTTTAGTTCAAACTTCAAATTTTTTTTTAAATCTAGATAAGCATTTCTCATATGTTGTATTATTACATTTAAAAAGCAAAACACTTCGTTGGGAGGTTTCAGCATAAATGCAAGATAAAAGTTAGATCAATGTTTTTTTTATAAACCAAATTGAGGTTTTGATATGTTAATGTATATGTTTTGTGAATAAATGTTATTAAAAAAATTTTTTTTGCAGGATATCGCGTTGTCTACGTGCCATCAGAGGAGGGTGAAAACACAGAGCTGACACTCCCTGATACAGCATCATCTGTGACTCTCAGTGGCCTCCTGCCAGGAATCCTCTACAACATCAGCATCTATGCTGTGGAAGACAGTCTGGAGAGTGAACCCACCTTTGTTCAAGTTAAAACTACTGGGGAAACACTGCCAGGTAAAAAAGTAGCATGCTTTTAGAAATTTTACCATTGTTTTTTAATAACTGATATCCAATACTCACATATGATATGTAAGTCATACTTTTCCTACCCTTTCGACAACTGCATCTTTATGATTGTCACATGCCAAAATAAATGCCAGATGTTTAACCCAAAAGACAGCAGCTGTGAAGATGGGTTCTGCTTTTTTTTATGGGGAAATATTTCTTACATCTTCAAGTATTGATTCTGTTGCAGATATTATGTCGAGCCTTATTTTTTCTTTTTAGTGGTGCTTTTCATTTTAGTGTCATTCTTTATATTTTCCCACGAAGGCTTGCTGAATAACTCTTTCCATAGCTGCCAGTAATTTAAATTATTTAACTTTCCGAAAAAAATTGCCTTTTCTCTTATGTTTCTTTTAAAATTTTGTCAAATTTCCCAAAACCTCCTCACCTGTGTGGGAATTTTGCTTTCCAGTGTATTCACAAAAGGCAGACAAGAAAAAAAAAAGTCATTGAGATTTATTGCTTAGTCACACAGAAATCCCTTGTTTAACCAATCTGTGCTCCATTCTGCGGTCCGTTTCGGTGTTCTTTGTTTTGTTTATTTATTCTGTAAATAGTCCAATTCCTGACATGACTTGGGAAGAGTTTTAAAAATGGACAGAGAAGGCATCGAGTTCACAGCTGTTCCATTGTTAACCGGCTCAAATGGATATGTGTACAACGTTCCAGTCTGCCAAGTCGATCATGCATTCGGGCCAGATGTTGAAAACGTTTTAGAAAGCTTTTTGCGCCATGGCCTCAAGATGTTTGACCTAATTGAGAGAGGGTGATATCATCCCTGGACTGAAAAATGAAACTCTACAATTTTGGAAATGCACTATTGTTGCAACATAATGTTGAATTTGTACAAAGTACAAAAAAAGGGAAAATGTGGGGGAACATCTAGAGCTAACTGTAGCAATTAATCATTACGTTTCAACCCAAGTTCAAAAGAAATACATCTTTTATTTGTTAATGGGGAGATTTGTGCCAGTATTGAAAAATCATTGCCTTTCAATTCATCTTGCATGTCTATGGCTAGTTTCTATTCCTAAATTGAGTTACTAAGCATAAACCCATATCCATCTAAAGTAAGGACAAGCTGTAATAATGCAGTTTCTCTTTAGAATCTGGAAAACTTTGTCCTACATTTATGACCATGTTTGCATGGGTTAGGAGACATCTGACACTGGGTGCAATGATGTAGGCATTTCAAACTTTGCATAAATAAATCTCACAGAATGGCTGATTTTAGTTAGAAATTATGTTCTTATGTAATTGATTAAATTTTGCTCAACTCAGTAGTTTTTTCCCCCTTTGTTTTGGTTTTGGGATCCAGTTTTATGCTGTTCCTTAATACAACAGTGTTGGTTTTATGATTTTGACCACGCATATTTGGTATAATTTTGAACCCAAAAAGTAAGCAATTAGCTAATGTTTTTTCTTAAGATTAGCAGAAAAAAAGCTAAAGAGAAGGAATGATAACCCAATTTACAAAAAAGCAGCATATTACCTTAGAAATTACAAGTGACCTGACAATTTGGACATTTGGAGAAGAGATGCACTACCCGAAGAAAACCTGGAAATTTGTAGGAACAACATGCAAACTCCACATAGAAATGAGTTGGCTAGAATTAAAGCCTAAGGACTTCTTGTCATGAGACAACAGTGCTGACAACTACATGAAAACAAGCTAATAGTGTCTAATAAACACAATTTATGAATATGAAATACTGCTTGTCTGTAATGTCTTATAGAACAATTATTTGTGGAAACTGTAGACATTGTTAGCAAACTATAGTGCCAGCTACTTTCCAGGTAAATTACGTATTTTTTATTAAGGAAACAAGCTTGTTGTTCAGTGTGAAATATAAACATTTAGGCCTACATAACCTCCTTACATTAACAATATTTATCCTACAGTTTTACCATCTCACTCACAAAATAAGCTAGATCATAATGTTCTGTCTAGTTTCTGGTTAAACTTCTCGGTAAACATTGTGTTTGGTTAAACAAATAAACCATCAGTTTTTGTTTTTACTTATCTGGAATATGATTCGTAACATATCTTTGTTTCTTCTTCACAGATAATGTGAATTCCCCCTCTGACCTGCAGTTCTTTGAGGTGTCTGACACGAAAATCGTTCTGACCTGGTCGAGCCCAGTAGCCGGAGACGTGTCGGGTTACCGGGTCACTGTGTCGCAGGTCGATGATTCTGACTCTCCTCAGAGCGAGATGACTCTACCTGTCCATCAGAACTCCTATGTTGAAGTAACGCACCTAAATCCAGGCACACTCTACCGCTTCAGTGTGTACACCATTTACAACGGGAAGGAGAGCTTGCCACTAATCGGAGAACACGCCACTAGTGAGTACAGTGATTTGGCTTACTGAGAAGTATTTGAAAGACATCTAAAGCAGATATCCTATAAACAATATAAGCCAAGCAATCTAAAAATAAATCTCTCCTATTTTTTCTTCTTTTAAGATCCGGATGCTCCCACAGACATTCATTTCAATAACATTACTGAGGACAGTGCAGTGGTTCTGTGGTTTGTACCTCGTGCCAAAATTACAGGCTACCGTCTCCTCCTGACTGTCGAGGGTTCAAACCCAAAACAGATTCACCTGCCGGCACATCTGACACAACACACCCTCCATAACCTGCAGCCTGACACAGAGTACAATGTCACCCTTTACTCAGAGCAAGGCAATACACTGAGTGTTGGAGAGACTGCCATTTTCACCACAAGTAAGTAAATGAGTAGCACTCACATGAGAGGCTTGTACTTTTGCATTCGTTTAATTGAAAATAGGATGTTGGTAATGTATACCTTCTGTTTTTCACACTGCCTGAAAGATAGCATAACAAATTTACCTTGTGATTGTTTCCAGACTCACGGATGGGTAACGCCCCTCAGTTTAACACAGATGTCACAGATACTTCCATAGTAATCTCCTGGTCTCCAGTTCCCCGTATTGGATACAAGGTACCCTGCACATAGAAAATGGTCAATTTGCACATCGATAAAGTAAAAGTAACTAGAGTATCCAAACATCCATAAGTAGATAGCCAAAAGTCCATTATCTTGTAACCTTAGGTAAAACCATCTCTTTTGTCTACAATGAAAGAAGAATCTGGGAATGAATCTTTAATTACATCATGCTAATATATATCCTACAGCTATTTTTTAGAAATGTTGTGTTTATATACAAAAAGCCACTGGTTTGGGGATTTATATATATATATATATCAATATGTTTTTAATCATAAACAGAAACTACATTTTTTAAGTAAAAGCATCATTTATTGGGCTTTAGTATGCTTGGGAAAATGCTGAACTCTGACCTTTCTATCCTGCATCCCTAACCTATGGCTTGTTGACCTCCGTGTTTCTGAACCTGACTGCATTTGTCTTTTAGCTGTCAGTTCGGCCAAGTTTGGGAGGAGAAGCTCCAAGAGATGTCATCTCTGAATCGGGAAGTATTTATATTTCTGGTCTGACTCCTGGAGTGGAATACACATACAGCGTCCAGTCGGTTTTTGATGGTCAAGAACAAGGAACCCCAGTCACACGGCGTGTCGTCACTCGTATGCATCCATTTAAACCCAAAACAGTATTTTTTCCCTGCCCTTCCTCGCCCTTTTAATTTTACATAAACCTATTTTTACCCACAGCTCTGTCACCTCCTACTGATCTGAACTTGGAATCCAACCCAGGAAACAGTGACATTACCGTCCAGTGGAACAAACCCAACACCCCAGGTATATACAGAAACACATACCTATGAAATTAAGTCAGATCAGAAGCAGGATTTTAAAACTGTAGCTAGCTGATTTAACCATGAGATGTAATTTCTCTTCCTTTTAGACATAACAGGCTTCAGAGTGACATGCACTCCCACCAGCGGGCAGCAAGGAAACAGCATAGAGGAATTTGTGGAGGCTGGGCAGAATTCCTGCACTCTGGAAAACCTGAGTCCCGGGGTGGAGTATAATGTCAGTGTCGTCACTTTGAAAGATGATATGGAAAGCTCTCCTGTATCAACTGTCATTACCCCAGGTTGGTTCCTGAAGCTTCCTTAGTCATTTGATGGATTTTTGAAATAATTAAAGTTGCTTTTTGTTAGTTTTTTTGTGTAAAAATCCTACTTTTTTTTTTACAGTTTAACATTCAACACACACTAAAATTCAAGTTTCTGTTTCATCATACAAGCTGCTTACTAAATATTTCAATGAAGTCATTTCATTGAGGAGTCTAAATTAATGCAATGATGCATTCCACTTGCACTCTGAAGTTTGGCCTTCTATGAAGTGGAACGCCTCCTAAATTGAAAATATAGCTTAAAGACATAAAGGCCTTAAATTTGGCTTAAAATTCCCATCCACATCCTCGATAAAACATAGCTGCCATGCACTAATGAAAACATGGTTGTATATCATTAAATTGACTGTACTATTATCGTCTCTTAGCGAAGAGGTAGCTGCAGTTCTCTTATTGATCAGAGATCTGTTTGCTAATTGCAGTTACACCAAAGGAAAATAGTTGACCACTTCAATAGCTTTTATACTTGCAAATGAAACACATTAAAAAATATATATAAATATATATAGTTTTCATTATGAAATCTGATTTCCAACTTCTGAGGCAAATGCATTGCATCATTATCATATAAGCAGAGAAGCCAACTTGCATTAACTTTTCCATCAGTTTGATTTGTCAAATGGATCAAAATGCTGGAGCACAGAGACTTTCTGTTACTCACATTAACCTCAGCTCTTGTGCTCTTTTTCTCTTTTTTCTCACCCCCCCCTCTGGCTTTGTTTACCTTTGCCTGTTGTCGTTTTTTTTGTTGTGTTTGTGTGTTTTTTCTCTCTTTTCCCTCTCCAAAATCGCCTTACCACCCATCCAGAGGTTCCACAACTGACCGACTTAACCTTTGAGGGGGTGACTGACACAAGCATCAGCCTTCGCTGGTCGCCACTCAGCACCACGACCGTCACGGGTTACAAGATCACGGTGGTTGCATCAGGCGACAGCATCCCCATTTTCGAGGATATGGTCATGCCGAGCTCAGGCCAGTACACAGTGCATGGACTTGAACCTGGCATCGACTATGACATAAGCGTGACAACAGTAACGGAGCACGGCGAGAGCGAACCCACCACCATCACTCAACAAACCTGTAAGAGTTCCTACTTTTGTGGCTTTTGTAATTAGAGTTGACTGATAGTTAATGGGCATTGCTTTACAGTAGTTCATACCCTAATTTCTTAACCCTGGGACTTGGTTTAAGGTTAGTGCACATTGTTGTAAATACAAAAAAAATGTCTGGTCGTTCCATTTTGATTCATTAAGGTACAATATTTATTGTTCAGTTTTTACCATAGTGATTTCAGTTTTTATTTCCACTGTCATTTACTAATGAATTATCAGAAAAACCTACAAAGATAGGGTGAAAATTATAGATTTTTTTTTAAATGCAATTTTTGTGACATAATCTCTTTATATCTTTAGTCTAAGTTTTAATGTGACATGTTTCATATCAGATGCCTGGGTATTCACCTAAGAGATATATAAATACATATCAACTATCTTAAAAATCTAATTGAATTATGTGAAAACAATAAGAAAAATAATAATATTTTTGAAAAATGATAGGATAGGTTATCGGATGGCATTGTAAAACTTGAGCAATGAACAGCTGCTAAAGGCATCTTCTATCTTTCTGGGCTCATTGGGTCTTAAAACCAAAAAGCTTTTTAAGTTGCTGTTGAAATTGCTTCACATGCTGAGTTGTCAGTTTAATCAGCCTGTGTCTCTGTGTACGCGTGGACCATCTGGCGTCAATTAAAGCGCTTTTATTAGCGACTGGTCTTTAAATTTAAAGACGCAGTAAAATGTCAGACTTTCACATAAACTCTGTTGTTCCTTTGTAACAATAATATTATAGTTTCACTCTTGTTCTTGCATTTTGTTTTCGTTTTTCCCTTATCAGTTGTTGCTTGTTGTCACTTTTTAAAAAAATGCGATTTAATGACCGCCATTTGAGAGAATCTGTTCACTTCTTTTTGTTGCACTCTGAAATAAGCCAGATTTGTTTTCCTCCCAACAGCCGTACCAGCCCCCCTTGGTTTGAACTTTGGCGAAGTTGGACCAGACAGTGTCGAGGTCACATGGGAGTCTCCTCAAGTCCCAAACCCCTCTGACATTAACACCTTTGTTATTAGGTATGTTGATAAACAAGATCTACCGTCTTGGGTAGATAATATTTCACCACACCTCATGCAATTTTTTCTCTTTTTGTACCCTTACATCTGTGCTGCTTATAATTTAGATACCATCCCATCGACAATGAAGACCAAACTTTAGAAACCACGGTTGGAGGCGATACGAATAGTTTGGTTCTGAGGAGTAAGTTGCTTTGAGCAGTCTGAGAAAATGAAAATACAGATTGTTGCATATTCTAATGTGGATCTTTTTTTTTTCTGTTCTTAGATTTGGTGCCTAACACAGAGTATTTGGTGAGCGTGATGTGTGTTTATGAGCAGAGGCAGAGCTCTCCCGTTGTTGGTATCATAAAAACAGGTGATTTGAAATGATACAAAATGTACTTTCATATCATGTCTTAGTCAAGTATAGTCAATATTTTTATTTTAAATCATAATCTCTACCTTTTCTCTTCTCTGTTCAGCTCTGGATTCCCCAGTTGGCCTACGTTTCTCTGAAATCACTACCAACACCTTCACTGTACACTGGCAAGCCCCCCGAAGCAGAATCACTGGTTACCGCATTCGCTACCAGATGGTCAGCGGTGGGAGGGCCAAGGATGAGAGGCTGCCCCCTTCAAGAAACCACTACATCATGACTGGCCTTGCTCCGGACACTGACTACTTAGTCAGCATCTTTGCTGTGAGCGGGGGACAAGAGAGCGTCCCGCTCAGTGGGACACAGAAAACCAGTATGGACACAGGATTTGATACTTTTAAGTATTTTATTGTGTCGTCAAATTACCACAAAAATTTAATGAATTTTATTTTACTGTTCATCCAGTTTCTGATGCTCCAACTGACCTGGAAGTGCTTGACTCTACCCCCACGAGTATCACCGTTCGCTGGGCCGCACCACCGGTCACAGTGCGCTACTACAGGATTACTCATGGAGAGTCAGGTATTAGATCACATCACTGCACATTTAAATCAGTTAGGACCACAGAAGGTTTCTGAGATCTCAGACTTAAGTTATAAAACTGAACAGTCTTTTCTTGTATGATTACTGCTGAAAACACGTTAGTATTCAGGCCACACTCCACAGCTTTTTCAGGTAATACAGACATTCAACCATGAAAATTATCTGAATCATTTTTTCATTTACGTATGTAATGTCCTTGTGTTAGACGGGGGTAAAGTTAGTAATTTGAATTCATAGCCTGCAATGATTAAGTTTTATAGGCAGATTGCATGAAATCCATCTGATGAAAGAACATTTTTTGAGTCAAACTTGGAACCATGCAAAAATATGTGATTAGTATTTCCCTTTTATCATGCTTCCATTTTTGTGTAATCGTTTTTATTTTAGTAGATTTTTTTACTCATAAAAAAAAGATTGATTGGTCCCTTGAAATAAAAACACTCCCTTTTTTAATTGTCTGACCCTTTCTCTACTTTTCTTAGGTGGTCACACTAAGGAGTTTACTGTACCTGGGACCAAGTCCACTGCTACAATCAGTGACCTAAAGCCTGGCACTGATTACACCATCACAGTTTATGCTGTGACAGGCAGAGGAGATAGTCCTGCTTCCAGCATTCCCATCTATGTTACACATAGAACTGGTACATAGACATACCCTATGTCCCTAAAATAGGGAGTAATAAAGTCTTTAGTAGGAAAGGATCAGCGTTTTCTTATTCAGCTTTTATTTCTTTTCCTAGGAGTGGACTCTCCCTCTGAAATGCAGGTGACAGATGTGAATGACAGCAGCATTACAGTGAGATGGAGTCCAGCCCAGGGTCCAATAAAAGGATACAAGGTCACCGGGACCCCAAGATATGGAGAGGGAGTGTCTTTCACTGAGGTGGTGGCCCCAGGTATAGTGTTCAAACTAATGTTTTTACAGCACTTACTGAAGTATTTACAAACAATTTCCTCATGTTGAAAACATACATTTGAATGCATTGTATCTATCATAGGCTATAGGTCATCCAATCTGATTAGTTTCTCTGCTCTCTAAAATATCAATATTAACACTTTCATGTTTTGCTGCTGAAGTTATGTACAAGATGATTTGCAGGATTTGTTTTCTTCCACAAATAGCATTCTGCAAAAGGCCAAATGGTTTTGTTTCACATTTCTTGCTTGAATGTTTCAGTTAGGTAACATAATGGGTTAAGGTTTTTGAACTGGATTTTATCTCAGAGTCTCAATTTAAAATGGTGCAGAAAGAACTGCTTCTTAGTCCTTTTAGATTTTTCTTATTACCTTCCATCTTAACTAATCCCTACTTCATGTTTTTTCTGTTAATTGCAATCCCAACAGAATCTCTGACTTAGGGCCGGATTTATCAAGATCCAATTTTGCATGCAGTAATTTGCGCTCGCAAACTGGAATTTTGTGCGAGGGGCTGAACCATGGTTTGCGGGTGATTTAACAAGAGTGATTGCGTAACTGGTGGCAGGTGCAAAACTGTTGGAGACGCCCTATTTAAAATGATGGTTTTGCACGTTTT